TTTGGATACATTGCTCTTCCCTCTTGTCCAGCTCCCAAGAAAGGATGTTCCCTGTTTACTTGAGCAGTATCTTAGCAAGCACTGGAACATATCTGTGGTGCCCAAGTGTCAGATGTCTTCCTGTACAGTTGCTTTAGTTTTATGTGAAGACTCATGAAACATACACAAACCTCAAAGTTACATTTCTAGGGGAACATGGGAGGACTGGCAATAGTTTATGCATAGGAAATAAGCATTTGTGTAGCAAATGTGTGTCCATTTCTGTGAAGGACTTTCATTTAGTAGACATGTTTGTCATTGGAGTCTGAGGTCATCATCATAAGTACGCTGGGGAGGGAGTCACCAGCTACATTGAAAGAGTTGTCACCCTCTTTTAACACAATCCTCTTATTCTCCTTTTCCCAATTCATCAAAAATTCTGGGGGGGGGCAGGGAGAGAAATTAGAAGCTAATGAGAATAAAATAAGGGTTGTTTCTAGGCCACACTGATTTGCCTATTGGAATGTTACTGTTTTCCAATATAAATAAGAAAAATTTACCCAGAAGAGAAATTTCCCTAGAGGTAAATTATGTCTTAGTCATACTGACTAAATGCCATGTAGCTTAATCTGGTGATACTTATTATGAAGTAGACCATGACATACTTATCTTTAGGTGTCTGTATGCTATGTCTCTTGACCCAGTCAGTATTCCTTTTTTGTTCAGATCCCTAGGGATTAGCTCACACAGAAGTCTCCTGGAGGTCTAAGAGTTCTGCCTTGCTCATTTCTGGCTTGTTTTTTTTTTTTGGGGGGGGGGGGGGGATCCTTGGGTATAGTACTCCCAGCATACCAAACACTGTAGGCCTCTGAGACAGTTAAATTGTATAAGCTAAGTTTGTAGTTAAGAGTTTGATGTCTCTTTCTGAAGGAGGGGTTACAAGTGACAGAGACTACTGTTGTAGACCATTCTGGTGCTTGCTTTAAACTTCTTATGTTGATATAAGTATTAATTGCAAACTTGATATACTTCTTCCTGTAAAATACCACCAGTATGATTTTTATAAACGTCTGTATGTGTAAAAAGTAAAGTTTTAGAATTGCAATATGTTGGAATTGTTAGGCTCTGCTTTGTTCAGGCAACCTGTCCATTGATACTGATGCAAACTGGCCTTTGAATGGGCCCATTCAGCTTCTGGGTCACGCTGTCACTTTTGATTCTTCTGTTGCTGGGTATCATGCTGGTCACTTTGACAGTCTACCAAATCAGTGTCCTTATTGGCTAATTTTCTTGTTCTAACTACAGCTGTTCGACAGGATTCAGCATTTTCCTTTCTATGTGCAGTGTCATTTAGGCACTGGCAGTTCATCATACTTTATCTTAAGTGCTGCTTTTTTCCCCTGATATTTTCATTATCTGAACTTAATATGTTTACAATTTAAATTTTTAAAGGGACTTTGGGAATGGCTCAATGATAGAGTGTTTGTTAGCATGTGGAAGGCCCAAGGTCCATCCCTAGGACTGTAACACACATTTCTTTCCCCTTCTATCTATCAGCTTCTTCTGTAAGAGCCTGGTGCCTTTCAGTGTAGATTGATACTTGGAGATGAAGATCTGAGTGCTGGGTGTACTCTTTGACAGTATCAGGGAGACCTCACTTCAAGATCTAGCAGATAGAATAGGAAGCACGTGTGTTTATGCCCTTGTGATGCTAAAGCATCCACATTTTTATGTTGCATACATAATGTGTAAATTAAAAGCCAACTTATACAATGTTCTCTGATTCCAGTATAGCACACTTTAGTCTCCCCTCCTACAACTTCTTACCCTACTAGTAAATATCCTGGTGTCCAAGGTGATAGTATATTTACATACAAAGAAATATTAGTAGTAGTTTCAGAATTGCTAGTTTATAGCCTTATGGAAAACATCTTCTTTCCTTCCTTCCTTCCTTCCTTCCTTCCTTCCTTCCTTCCTTCCTTTTACCTTCCAATCCCAGTTCCCTCTTCCCCCTTTCCTCCCGTTCTCCCCTTCCTCCCATCCCACCTCCCATCTGCTCCTCAGAGAGGGTAAGGCCCTAGGATATCAGCTAAGTCTGTCCCATCTCCTCCTTGAGGCAGGACCAAGGCACCCCCCCTTTCCATGTCTAGCTGAGCAAGGTGTCTCTCCATAGAGAATGGGCTCCACTAAGTCAGTTTATACACTATAGTTAGATCTTGGACCCACTGCCAGGGGCTTCATATGCTGTCCAAGCCTGTATTCAGGGGGCCTAGTTCATTCCTATGCTGGTTCCACAGTTGACAGTGCAAAGTCAGTGATCTTTCACTAGCTCTGGTTAGCTGATTCTATTGTTTTCCCATCATGGTCTTGACTCCTTTGTTCATATTATTGCTCCTCCCTCACTTTGATTATACTCCAGGAGGTCTGTGCAATGGTTAGTTATATAACTTTGCATCTGCTTCCATCTGTTTCTGGAAGAGGGATCTAGCTTCTCTGGGGTTTTGGATTGTAGGCTTTGCTTTATGTCTGGTATTAACTTACGAGTGAGTACATACTATATTTGTCTTTCTGGGTCTGGGTTACCTTACCCAGTATGGTTTTTCCCCCCCTAGTTCTGTCCATTGGCTTGCAAATTTAAAGATACTGCTTCTCACTACTGAGTAATACTCCATTGTGTAAATGTACCACATTTTCTTTATCCATTCTTTGATTGAGGGGTATCTAGGTGGGAAACATATTTCTTAATGATGTTTATGGACTTGGTTCATTTCTCTTTGCTCTTACTTTTATGTCTTTTAGTAACTGAGGTGGGCTCTTTCTCCTTCACTCCTCACTATGGTATTAATCATTTGCAGTTAAGTTTATTTGCTAGAACCAGCAGTCTACAGTAGGTTCTCTCCATTTCCCTTGATTTAGTTTTTGGATTATGTGAAACATAACTGTGCCTCTGAGTCAAGTGCAGACAGCCCTGCTCAGGGATATGCAGGCCTCCTTACAAACTACTCTTTTTACTTTTTGGTTTATTCTTCCTGTATTTCTCTTGTGTCACTTTAAACTTGTCAGGTTTGTGTTTAGAATTGTTTACCATGGTAGAAAAGGCATTCCCACTATTCTCAGCTGCTCCTCACCTGGCAATGCTGGAAGGAAGGGTACAGGATTGAAGAACACTTTCTTTGTTATTTTTGAGACGGGATCTCTAGCTGTCCTGGAATTCGCTCTGTAGACCAGCCTGGCCTCAGACACACAGAGATTCACTTATCTCTGCCTCCAAGTGCTGGAACTAAAGATATGTGCCACCACACCTGGTTGAGGATGACACTTTTGTGTGTTGATGCCTTCATACTTTTATACTTTGTCTCCTTGGTTATGAGTTGGTAGCATTCAAAGTTTAAGATCTTATGTAACATCTGTAATAAGGCAGGGAAAGGACACACTCTTCCCTCTACTGTCTTACTCACCCCTATATTTTAGAATTTTCAAACACCACATTGCATGTTCCTTGAAAAATAGCAAAGACTAAACAGGTAAGTGCTCTTGCTACCAACCTGACAGCCTGAGTTCTATCCCAGAACCTATACCAAAGGTGGTCCTTTAACCTCTGTACTGGTGATGTGGCAGGTCTACACACAGTACATTTAAATTTAGTTATTTGTTTATTTTTAGTAACAGAAGCATCATAGATGAGGATATAACTCTCTTTGTGTCCCAACACCAAACCAGTTTTACTTTCCTTAGAGATGGGTCTCCATATTCTGCCCAGCTTGGTCTTAAGCTCTTCCTAGGCTCAAGCATTCCTCTTGCTTCAGTCTTCAGAGTGTCTGGGCTATTGTGTTCTTTATACACATTTACTCCCATGTGCCCATAAGAAAAGAATACTGTTTTCCAACTAAGAGCTTTTTGTTTTGTTTTCTTTAGACAGCAGTTCTGCTGCTGTCTTGGAGATGTTTCTGTACTTTATGATAGTTCTGCCTCCTCATCCCTTCCAGCTGAATGGTGTCTGCTAGCTAGTGTCCCTGAATGTGACTCCTAGGACACACATGAGATTGCTACTGGTATCCCTTCTTGGTCCTAACAGTCCAGTAACTTCTCCCTCAAGTCCTAGATTTTACCTTCTCTGCTGGCATTGTTATCAGAGCTACCATTGCTCTGCTGGCCATTGATACTCTCTATTTCCTAAGCCTAAATTTTAGGTAGTTTGGCAAAAGTGGAATTGTTTTGTTTTACTCCAAGTGAGATTGATCATTTTTCAATGTAGGAATTAGCCAGTTCCATTTCTTTTCTGTGGTGTGACCATTTTAATCATTTTTATATGTCAGTTTGTGTGAGTTCTTTGTATATGCTAGGTTCATTTATTTCACATATATTTAGTGTCATGCAGTGCCACTCAGTTGGTAGAATGCTTGCCTAGCATGGATAAAACCCTGGGTTTGATCCCTAGCACCCCATAAACTGCTTGTGGTAACACATCTCTATAATTCCAGTACTGGAAAGATCAGAAGTTCAGAGTCATTTATTGCTAGGGTACCAGCAATAAATAAGAGCATGAATTCTTAGGAGGAATTTGGATGAAGAAAAATCTAAATAAATAAGACAATAATATAGGTACTTAAAGTGCCATCAAGATAGGATAGAGTCCCAACATCTCCCCAGAGCGTCTGTCTCTTGGGTACTTGCTATTAGGTGGTTAGTCAGGGAAGGGGAGAACAAGATGATTGATAAGAAGGAGCTGGCCATGTCCAAAGACACCAGCTTGTACCTTGTACCTTCAGAGGTAGGCTTGTCTGAGCAAGGGGAACAGGGTGGCAAAGCAGACAGGCCAGTTTGTTGCAAGTGGCTGTAGTCTCCTCAGCCTAAGTGACTAGAGTGATGAGTCCAACTCCTACAGCTGGTCCTCCTGGGGCCAGGCCAGGTTAGCAACAACCTTGCCTGAGGGGACAGGCACTTTAGGACTGGATCAATGGGTTTGTGATTGTTTTAAGGCCTAGGCCTCCTCTTTAATAAAGGAAAATTTTCTGTTTCAGATTACCTAGGAACAGTACGATTTGGGGTTATCACAAATAAACATCTTGCGAAACTGGTATCCTTAGTACACTCTGGAAGTGTGTATTTACATAGACATTTCAACACATCACTTGTAAGTATTTTAAAATCACATTTGTATTAGTGCAGTGGTTCTTAACCTTATTGTAGGTCACAGACTCAATGAGAACTGGATGAAATGTATGGACCTCTCCCTAGGAAAGAGCAAGTGATTTTATGTGCAAATTGAGAATTCCTATAAGCCCACCCTAGAGCCCAGCCCCTGGTAAGAATCTGTGCATTAGAGGGTCTTAAATGTGCTATTTAGACCGTGTTTGCTTAGTACTTAAATTGTGATACAGCTTTGTTAGTTGCCCTTCCTGAGTGAAACTGTGGTTACTCAGTTGGTGATTTCTTACTCTAGGCCCACATTCTCTGAGATTAGCTTCCACTGGGCAGTGTTGTTCATTTGTTCTTATATGAAGAGCAGGGATGTGAGGGGCTTTTCTCCTACAGTAACAGTGGAGTGTCCAAGTTCTTGTCAAGAGATAGGGAGAAGTGGGTAGCTTCTCACCTCAGAGATTCTAAGTTCTCATTTCTCCTTTGTTCCCTGATTTTATTTGCTACTTTGCTGGGATTGCTGCCACTTACCTACTTCTGAGCCTTAAGCTTCACATCTGTGTCCTTGCAACTTCCACAGTCATTGCTGACAGGTTTTCTGAAGTATTTTATATTTAGTCATATTATTAATTTTGTTACACACAGAGACACACACACACAGACACACACAGACACACACACACACACACACACACACACACACACACACGGAGGTCCAAGGACAATTTGCAGAAGTTGATTTTCTCCTTTCATCATATATGTCATAGGAGTGCCTTTATCCATTGAGCCTTCTTGCTGGCCCTCTGAGGTGTTTTCATTGTTGACAAGATTGCTGGCTTTCAACAGGATCATTGGCTTTGAGATCCAATGACGATTTCTGCCCTTAGCTCAGGGTCATGGATCTTTCCAAATGCTATTGAGCCCCCACCACAGAGTGTCCCTTGTTTGCCAGTCATTTTAGCATCTGCCTAACTCTCATATCTCAGATATTGTGCTTTTCTTCTTGCTATTTATATTCCTAAATGTATTTTTGTGTTTTCCAAATGGAAGTGTTCATGATGTGTTTTAAACCCTCATTGTCGTACTCTGAGCATCACCGCTGTGGTTGCCTCTCCCACTGCCTGCTCACTTTCCTTGTGCCCATATAGCTTTTCACCTCATCTGCTTTGCTAGCTCTCATTTTCTTACACCATTGTTTTTGCCTGTATATATTTATAGCACAGGGCTTCAAGGAAGAGTAAATGGAGAAAAGGAGAACTGTGAAGTCATTCTGAAACTGTCCAGGCTTGCTGCCTCAGTTGGGTGCTTTCATTTGTTTATCAGCTGATGCCTTTTATCAAGTGAAGTATCTTAAAAAGCAGAGGTAGTGGCACGGTCATCATGTGGTCGCATTCCAGTCTCCATTCTGGTGGTCACCACATGCTTCATCTTGTGAGACCTTTCACTCTGGAAATTACTTGAAGCTCTGGTTTATTGTCATTGGACTTTCAAAAGTACTTTCATATTACAGAAGAACAAAGCAATAATACCACTACACACAAAGTGTGACCTGGGCCTTGCGTAAGCTTAGGTTACTCACTAATTTACCCAGTTACTGGTGTGACCATCACCAAAGCCTGTGTAGCCTCTGCGTAGTGGAAACTCCATTCTGACCTCTAGGACAGGACTTGATAAGCTAAGGTTAAGCTCTAACATCCCGTCACCAAGGACGGTAGGACTAGATTCTTTTATAAGTACCTCGTGGTGCTCTGTAACTCTCCTTAGACTGGGGGACTAGAGGTCATTACAGCTACCTAAAGGCAGGGAGAGTACTTGTGGATAGGTGAGTCTATCTCAGCAAAAGGCAAACCCAGTGATGTGAAAGCGACATCCTGCTCCCATGGTGACTTTCTCCCCACTTGTTGAGGACACTCGTGAGACTGTGTGGAGTGGTGGGCTGAGTGTTGGCTTTACAGCCAGCAGTGGTGCCTTTTCTGGGTGCTTTTTTTCTCCCTCACAGTGCAGCTTGACCAGGCCTCTGGAGGACAGTGCTGGCACTTTGGCTCTGCTGTGTCTTACTCACCTGTTTTATTCTTTTGAATTTGTCCTTGGCAGGTCTTCCCCAGGGAAGTAATGAACTTCACAGCTGAGAACATCTATAAGTGGGCCTCAGAAAACCAGGAGACCCTGTTCCGATGGCTACAGCCCCATGGAGGCAAGAGTCTGCTGTTGAACAATGAGCTGAAGAAAGGACCAGCACTCTTCCTATTCATACCTTTTGATCCCTTAGCTGAGAGGCATCCTCTCCTGGATGAGGTAGGAGTCCTGGTGATCCTCTCATAGCTCTTCTTCCAAGTTCAGAGTGGCTTTCAGGTATAGTAGCTGTGGCTCAGTGGTTTGTGCCTGGGTTAGGGATTTCTCCCACATTCTCCGACCATCGTTATTTGTTGATCTCGTGAGGGGTGACTAGGAGGGAAGGGAAATTGCTTCCCCAGATATAGACCAGGTGACTGCACTAATGTTCCTGTTTACAAGGTATTAGGATCACAAGCAAACTGATAAGGCCTAGGAAGTGCCACTGTCATGGGGCTGCCAGCTTTGGCCATCCTGGGGTCAGTAACACGGTGGCCAGGTGAAGCTGCAGTGGTGCTGTGTACCTTTTTCTCTAGATGGTTCTTGTTGCATGGATAGACAGATTTCCAGAGACAGGTGCTGCAGGAGTCTTCCCACCCTCTCTCCTTTCTGGAACATCCATTCTTTCTAGGCGTGAGTTTATTTTATACATGGATCATTTGGAAGCACTTAGAGGAACAATAACAATCAGCAGGAGAGAGCCTAGGATTGCTAAATTGGATTTATTAGGTTTTTATTTTTTTCTTTCCCTCAAGAATCCCTTAATTGGCTCAAACCAGAATCTGACAGCCAGTGTAGCAGAGATCAGGCCAGGCAGACATAGTGCTCTGGAGTCTGGGGCAGAACTTTTCACCAGCCAAGACTCACTCTGATGTTCTTCAGCATTTGGTCCAAGTTGTTATCCCCACTGGGAACCTTCTGACTGATGCCACAGTCTGGCTTTAAAAGAAGAAAGGAGAGAGCAATGAAGTAGTTCTGTTCCTTCCACTGAACTAGTCTTAAGACTTCATTTCTTTAGAAAATGTGCACTGCATGAATGTTTTATGGTCCAAAAGTCTCTTTTCCATGCCCAGGCCTCTGTGCCATCTAGATTAAAAGCCATCTAGGTGTGCAGGAAAGGTAGCTATGGCTGTGACTTTTTACTTTTGGGATATTGTCTTCCTTGACTTGGGCATGAAGAGAGGTGGGTCTAGACCCTCACTCCAGAGGGCTGAGGTTGAATTTGGCACCAGAGGGAGGCTTTGCTTTTGTTCTCAGATGAGCATCTCCCCACATCTTCTGTTTCTAGCATCTGCTGGCAGGCCTTTTTAAAAATCAGTTTCACCTGTGACTCTTCACAGGATTCCTAGGGTGCTGTATAGTAGGTGGAGTCTATATGGGCAGGGTGGCCCCTCTTAATATTGTGCATTCCTGAGACAAGCATCATCTACCCAGCACCTTCCTTCATGTGCCGTGTCAGTCTGGCCAGTGTTCACTGGGTACTGGGAGCTCATAGGGAAAGAAGTGTGTGGTAACTACAGGTGTCTGGTCTCAGAAACTGGTCCTGTTGAGAACTAAGAGCCTGCTCATTAGTCAGAGGACAATCAGGCTCCCGCCAGGCCTGGTCAGTAAGGAAAAGAGGGAAGTGATATCCCAGAGAACAGGATCCTAGCAGAAGGGGAGGAGGGGCTTGGGAAAAGCATCATACTTTAGTAAGGAGAGCTAAATGCTCAATAGAGAGTTCAGGGCAGCTTTGTTTTTCATTGTGGGCCTAGATCTGGGCAGACAATTGAGGGCATAGTAGGCAAGGACCCTTATGATGGTTGTGGGCTTTGTGTAGGTTGTAAGTGACCAAATGGTGGCTGTACCAAGCCTAGGAGTGGGCAACTGCCTTTACATATATGCCACTAGCATGGACACCTCACACTTGCATGTGTACACACAAAGAAAACATAGATCCTGACACCAGGGACACTGTTCCCTAGTGTTCCTACAGCATTCTTGAGACATCATGCTGTATATTATGCAACACACTAATCAAAGAAAATGTCTGTCTCAGCCTGCAGTGTCCTTTTGACTTGTTCTCCACTCTGAGTGATCTTTCAGGCATTCACAGCACGAGTCAAGTAAGCAGAGGCATCTGGACTTAAGAGATTTCTTTAATTGAAGACAACAGAAATATTGACACCACAGAAGGCATTTATAATTGTTTACCAAGTTCTTAATTGTTTATATTAATTATGACATAAATTGAAACACATTAACAGGATGTACCATGAATTTTGTTTTCTAAACTGTTTCTGTAATGGGCTTGTGATAGGAGAGAAGTAGGAGGCCTCACCCCTCTAGAGCATGGCTGCTGTGTGAGGTATTAGGAACCAGACAAGGAAAGAAAATGGTCTAGGAACATTGTTATCTTTCTGTAATGAATATTCATATTTGGGAAGATTTTATAAAATACAGCAGTGGATCTTAAAGTTTTATGGGGTGTGCAGGGCCCTGGGAAGTAGTTATCTGTTACTTTATCCTTGAATATAAACCAGTCCAGGAAGAGTGGAAGGTTCCAGGGTTCTTTGTGGGTTGGGTTGTCAGGGTCTGTCCTGTTGCTGTCAAGAATCTTGTCCACTCCAAAGCAATACAGAGAAACCCTGTCTCAAAAAACAAACAAACAAAAAACAAAACAAAACAAAAAAACAACAAAACAAAACAAAAAGAATATTGTCCAAAAAGGAGGATGATGTTTGTATGTGTGAGGGGTAATTTAAGACACTAGTTAACCACCTAAAGTGATGTTTTATTCCAAGAGCTAGTCTGAAAATACATTTTTTTTTTTTTGAGAGACAGGGTTTCTCTGTATTGTTTTGGAGCCTGTCCTGACACTCACTCTGTAGACCAGGCTGGCTTCGAACTCACAGAGATCTGCCTGTCTCTGCCTCCCAAGTGCTGGGATTAAAGGCATGCACCACCAACGCCCAGCTGTAAATACATTTTGTCAGGGACTAGGAGTGCAGAAGCTAGTTCATTTACCATTCAGAGTGGGATTGCCGTTACCTGAGCAGCCTCCCAATTTGAGGGTCTTAGGAACAGCCGGAGGAGGAGGCAGGGTCCTTGACCAGGCATCAATAAAGGGTTCTGTTCTGTTCTAAATGGGATGATATAAGCCTGGAAAGGCAAATGGGCCAGAGTATAACTTTATCCTACAGGTAATAGAAACCACCAAGTATCACTTGGCCAAGAAGTATCCATTATGCTTAGGCTCGTACTTTAGAAGTTAGGAAGAGGGGATGATGGCCTGAGGAGACTGAATGAACAGAGATGTGAATGAGCTGGTTTCTAGCCACAGTGGTGCAGGGAGGGGGAAGAGGTGCTCTAGAAAGGAAAGATGGGCATGGACAGTTGGGAGCAAGCTGGATTGGGGATCTCCTGGAAGGTATGAATATATTTGGGAGTATAGATGCTGTAAATTTACTTAAATCTACACATGTGTTTGTATAGTTTTCAGAGTTACTAAAGATGGAGAAAAAAATGACAGCATAGGGAAATGTTAACAGTGTGAAGAAAGTACACTCACCTGGAAGGCGAGTCTGTTCTGATTCTTTTAATGGTCTGGACACATCCCTGAGCTGGACTTCATTTATCTATGGTAGGCAGACGTTTCTATAACCTTCTAACTCAGAACAATGGTTCAGTGCTTGCTGATAGAGGGGCAGTGTTGTAAAAAACAGACTTGTGGCACACACCTTCAATTCCAGTACTTGGTGGATCTCTGTGTGTTCAAGGCCGGGCTGATCTACAGAGTGAGTTCCAGGGCAGTTAGAGGTGGAGAGTTTTGGTATGACCACTTCTCCTTTGAGGCAGGCTTGGCCTGGGCTTCTGCCTGTAACTTAGGGATGCTTTAGAGGCCACCTTCTCTATATCCATAACCCGTGTCTCTTACCAGCTCTGCCCTGTCTTTCAGATCACCGAAGTGGCCTTGGAGTACAATAACTGTTATGGGGACCAGGTGGTGGAGCGCCTCCTTCAGCACCTTCGGCGGGTGGAGGCACCTGTGTTCCAATCCCTGGCACCAGAGCTGCCAGCCCCATTGCCTGATGTTCAGCTGATGGCAGCGTCCCCCTGCTGCAACACAGTGGTGCTGCCACAGGGGCCAGCCCTCTCCAGGACCCACAATGTCTGTGAGCTATGTGTCAACCAGACAGTGGGTGGTACCAAGCCAAGCTCAGTGAGCGTGCCACAGTGCAGCTTCTTCGAGATGGCAGCTGCTCTGGATTCTTTCTACCTCAAGGAGCAGACTTTTTATCACATGGTGTCGGGCAGCACAGAATGCAGCAATTTTTTAACCTCCTACAGCCCTTTCAGCTACTGCTCTGCATGTTGCAGGACCATATCCCGGGGCATGGCAAGCTTCACTGGCTCTGAACAGGATGTTTTTACAGCCCCGGCTATCACATTCTCTTCCCTTGAGAAGAACTGTGAGGCTGCTGCCCCAAGCTCCATTCCTCACATTGAGGAGAACGGGTACCACCTCCCTGAAGTGGGCCTCACTAGCACAACCTTCACAGGCCTGAGCTGCAGAACCAACAAGACCCTGAATATCTACCTTTTGGATTCCAATTTATTTTGGTTATATGCAGAGAGACTAGGTGCGCCAAGCTCTGCTCCTGTAAAGGAGTTTGCCACAATTGTTGATGTGAAAGAAGAATCGCACTATATCTTGGACCCCAAACAAGCCCTCATGAAGTTCACTCTAGGTACTGTAGGTGGTTTGTCTCCCTGAGCATGATAAGCTTTGCTTAGTTTAAGAGCCATAACTTGCATTAATGGTCTCATTATTGCTGATCATGGGGTGATGCCAGCTTCATAGGTCCTTTGAAGTCTTCAGATAAGTTGTCTTTATCTTTGGTCATTTTGAAAAGAAGCCAGTTTGTCTGGTAAATAGAGGAGTAGCTTCTACCTACCGAATTCTAACCCATGGGAACTAAGGGACCTAGACTGGCAACTTCTGTCACATTTCCAAGACCAAGCAAGCACTAATCCCAGGAACCTGACTTCCATGCCAGACAGAATGGTGAGAGCCTTTTTAGTGGGACATGTAGAGGCTGATGAACATGGCCATTAATAGTACCAGCAATCGAAAGGGACCAAAGCAGAAAGGAGTGAGCTTAGACTCTCTTGCTCATTCTTGTTTCACAGGGTTGAATGTATGAGTGTCAGAGCCAGTGGGCCCCATTTGTGTTATTAACGTTTATGGCATGTTGGGGAAGCCTGCCTAAATCCTCAGTCCCTACACTGTAACATACCAGTGTTGAGAGCAGGTTGCAAACCAGTGAAATCCACTTGGGTTGACCTAAGGCTTTACCGTGGGAAAGTTTCACAGAGTTGGCTCCTGGGGCTTGGCAGCAGCAACAGCAAATGGACTCATGCTGTCCTGTTCCCAGGCTTTGCTGAAGTCCCTGACATACAACACAGGAAAGTGAGAATTGAAAAGCCTTGTTAGTTCAGCATCATTGGAAATGCAGGGAGAGCCAGTGCTTGCCAAATGAAGAGAAGAAGAATTTGATAGTGAAAGGGACTTGATTTCCAGGTTGAGAGTATATGAAAGCAGGATAAGCACAGATCCTCTAAGCACTAGTCCTTCTGGCTGTCCTTTCATCAGTTCAGGTGAAGCATTCACATTAGCTACCTTTGTGAAAGGACTCATACAATGTTGGTTTTTCTGTGTCATATCATTATAATTAGAAGAGCTCCTCGATGCTCAAAGCAAACTTGTGATCGATCAGTCACTATACAGAGTCCTGTTATTCCCAATTCATGATATGTTGGTGTAGTGGGTTCTCTTAAAACTACTGTGTAATTTGTTTTGATATTTATTTTTATTTTATGTACATGGATGTTTTGCTGCATGTATGTCTATATACCAACACTTGTGCGGTATCTGCAGAGGCCACAACAGAATGTCAGATCTCTTGGAACTGCTTACAGGTGGTTCTGAGCCACCATGTAGACGCTAGGAATCAAACCTGTGTCCTCTGGAAGAGCAGTCAGTGCTCTTAATTGCTCTTAAATGCTCCCCAGGCATGTAGTTTAAAATTTTATTTTTATTTTTGTATGTGTATGATATTTTGCCTATATGTATGTCTGATACCTAGAGAGGCCAGAAGAGGGGTTGGATCTTCTGGAACTGGAATTATAGGCAATTGTGAGCTACCATGTAGGTGATGAAAACTGAACCCAGGTCCTCTGGAAGAGCAGCCATTGTTCTTCACCGATATGGTGCTGTCTTTCCATAGCATAGCCCCCAACCATGTTTTTGTTACTGTTGTTTTGCTTTTCTCCTTCGAGATAGGTTCTATCTATATAGCCTTGGTTAGCCTAGAATTTACTATATAGACCATGCTGGCCTAAACTCCGAGATCCACCTGCCTCTGCCTTTCAGGCATGGAATTAAAGGTGTGTACCACCACACTCAGGAGAGCATGTAAATTTTAAAGTGATTGGGTTCTCTGGATTCTGTGAGTGATACTCAGCTCAGAGAAGTTCAGACTCATTACTTTGAATTTTAGGATTTCCTGAAATAAGCCCTCTTTGGCTTTCATTTTTCTCTTCTATATCAAGTGGGGACAATCTCATCTGTTGGGCCAGCAGTTTTGAAAATCCTAGAATTCAGAATTTAGATTCAGATTGGGAAGTCTTGGTTTCACAGTCCAAAACTATAGCCATCTAAGTTTTTCAGCTATGCTAAGGACATGTCTAAAGTGTTCACATGACACTTCACTTCCTCCTTTTGCAGAGCAAGTTATTGTCTGTTAAGACCTCCATTAGAGGGAGTTGGAAGAAAGAAGCTAAGTTGAGACTAGTGTTGTTGCTTCACTGAGGCAGAGGATTCTGAGATGGTGGCATTGGTGGGAAGGGTGAGATTGCTGCTTAAATTCGGGCTTTTATTACTTGGTTTATTTATATACTTTTTTCCACCATGTATAATCGAAGAACTTTAATAAAGGGAACCAAAGAGCTACTTGGCCGCAGATTAATGAGCACTAAACACCTTCACATTTGTACTGTCGCTGCATTTATAGTGAGGCTTAAAGAGCTTACTGTCCAAGCAGCCTCTCTTGCAAAAGGTACAGTGTGCATTGCTGTGTGCATTCTCATGCTGTGTGTGTGTGGGGGCAGTCTCTTTGGAAAAGAGCAGGCTGGAATCTCCATTTGTATTTGAACATCCCACCTACATGGTGTTTTGTTAGTAAAGGACTGTCCTCTGAGAGTTGATACTACCAAAGTTAAACATAATGGCAGCCTGGGCACCTTTTTGCCAGGGGTAAAAACATAAGCATGAAGCTAGGTGTGATGGCACAAATCTTTGAAGAGGCAGAGGCAGGTGGATGTCTGAGTTCAAGGCCAGCCTGGTCTACAGAACAAGTTCAGGTCAGCCAGAGCAACAAAGTAAGACACTGTCTCAAAACAAAACAACCCCCCTCCCCAATAAAATAACAACAATAAAAAAAAAAAGTAAGCACGGGACATTGTTTCAGTTTTAAAGTAGATGGGCTATTCTACTTGTACCTAGAGCAAAGATGACCTCATTTTCTCTTCATTTTTAGAGTCTTTTATTCAAAACTTCAGTGTTCTCTACAGTCCCTTGAAAAGGCATCTTACTGGAAGTGATTCTGCCCAGTTTCCGTCTCCCCATTTAATCACTGAAGTGACAACTGATACCTTCTGGGAAGTAACCCTTCGGAAACAGGTACGGGGCTGGAGATGGGACTTCATGGTAGAGCACTTGAGCATATGAGGTTTAGGGGTTCAAGAGTGGAGCAAAAATCAAGCCATCCATTCCTGTTAAATTCTACAGCTGTAGGCATTTAGGGGAAAACTGTCTATTTCTGATATGCAGATTAGTCTAGTGGTGGGACATGAGCAGATTGCATGGTGCTTTTCTAACTGCTAAGACCGTAAAGAAACACGTAATTACAATTACAGGTGGAAAAAAAAAAATGCTCACTATGATTCCTGCACAGTCAGTGACTCAATGCCTTCAGGATTTAGCAGAGCAGGAAATGAGGTCCAGGACCAGATATGAGTAACTATCTCCCCTTCCCACAGGATGTTCTACTGCTCTATTACACAAAGTGGTGCGGCTTTTGCCCGTCTCTCAATCACATCTTCATCCAGCTAGCTCGACTCCTGCCAGAAGATACATTTACTGTGGCTAGGTAAGGACACCAGTCTACAGCATCATGGGTCCTCTTTGCTACCTAACCCATGGTAGGTGGGCTTGAATCCAATGATCATGAAGATGCTTATTGCTGATCAGATTCATAGGCATGCTTGGCTGCTTAAAGGTCCTGGGAAGAGGATGCCCTGAATTACCACCCAGCCCTGGGGACTCAGTTTTGCTTTTGTTTCCCTCTTCATTGGTGGAATCCAGAGGAAGACTTTGTCAATAGCCATGTGTCTACTTTTGTGATTCCATGGATGCTTTATGTGATCTTTTGTGTAAACACATTTTGAATCCTTTTTTTTTTTTTCAACAGACTCTCTCTGTAGTTCAGGATGGCTTGAGCTTACTATGTACTATGGCCTTTAATTCCTGGCATTCCTTCTGCCTTGGTCTACCAAGAGCTTACAGTTATAAGCTACCATACCTGCTTTCAAATACCATTTTAGTTACATTTATTCCTTGAAAGTTGTTTTTGTGGGTATGCATGCTTTGTTTTATTTTGAGAAGAGTCTACTATGTAGCCTAGGCTGGCCTTGAACTCACTATGTAAACCAGATTGACCTTGAACTCAGATCCACCTAACTTTGCCTCTTGGGTGCTGGAATGGAAGATGTATACTGTCATACCCAGCTCCTTGACAGTTTCATATGTATATATAGTGCATCCTAATTATACTCACTGTCTACCTTTGTTCAGTTTTCTCACTTTTCTCCCCATCCTGATTGCATATTGTTTTTTGTTTTGTATTCAAGTTTAACCAGTCACTCACATGCTCATGACTGTGGAGCTACACACCAGAGCATAGAGGACATACCAATGGCTACCCTATTGAAGATCAATATTTACTCTCCCTCAGCGTTAGTGATCAGTAGCTAATGGATCCTCAGGAGGGATAGACCCATGAACCCTTCCCCTATTTATGACTAAATGTTGTGAGTTCATAATTGCAATGGCCATCCCACCCTGTCTTTCCATCTCCCCGAGTTTCTGCCTTCACAGCTGTTGGCTACAGACAGAAAAGCTTTTCTGATAAGAGCTGAGAGCAGCATTTGTCTATGAGTATAAGCATAAATATTTAGGAGGCAGTTTGACACTATGTGCATTCAGTAAAGCAACAATAGTAAGTTTGGTCTTTTGATGAACTTTACAGTACCAGGCATGAATTCCCTCCTCTCCCTCAAATCCAATCAGAAAATACTTCTGCCATTGTTGTGCCTATGGGCACAATTTGCATGGAGGTCAGCATTATAGCATGTAAGGTCTACCCACTTAGTAACATTATTGATGACTTTTCTCTCCCAGCTGCCTGGTAGCATCTTATGGTTAGAAAGGAAGCCCTTCTGTTCCCTTTCCAGCTTGATTTCTCTGTCCTGTACCCAGGGTATGTGGTGTCTGCAATAGGGTCTTACCATCTAATTCTGGTCAGCAACCAAAAACAATCAACAACAATAGCCTGTGCTGTTTGGAGGGTCTCTGGAACCTCATGGCTAACTGATGGGGTAGTATATCTTATTTTTTAAAGTAGGGTCTCTCAGTGAACCTGGAGTTCACCAGTTGGCTAGTCTGGCTAGCCAATGGGTCATGGGATCCTACTATGTCTGCCTCTTAGCACTGGAATTACAAATGTACACCACCATACATGGCTGTGTGTGTGTTCTGGGGATCCAACTCAGGTTCTTATGCTTGTATAATAAGCAATTTCCAAGCCTTTAAATCCAGTTTATAAGGTTGGGAAGTAAGCAGTTTAGCTTTAAGATATAGCTTCTCCATCCTTGCCACTAAATGTGAAAGACAAAATCATGGGGAAAAGATAGCAGAAGATAGAAATACAGTCTTTCTGATGAAAAGATAACAAAAGATAAACTATATTCCAACTTACTTGATGCTCTCTCTCTCTCTCTCTCTCTCTCTCTCTCTCTCTCTCTGTTGGTAGTAGGATTGAACCTGGGACCTCATGCATGCAAAGCAAGTGCTCTACCTCTCAGTTATAAATCCTAGTCCTAATAAAAACATGTTTTAAAGGTAGTCATAAACACATGCATGTTTATATTTTATGTGCTGCTTGCTATGCATTCTCAGTGATAATCAGAACCAAATTTGAAAAGTGACTGTGCTGAGAGATTGTTACATACATAGAGGCTTAAACCTCAGAACACCTAGTAAAGCTGCTGTGTCTATCCATCATTTTCTTTTAACTAATCTGAGGCACAGAAATATTAGGCAGCTGGCTCAGAATTATTAGGGTCCAGTATTCAGAGTCAGGAGTTCATACTTTAGACACGCCACATTTAAAATGGGTTGGGGTTATAGCTTAGGTGATAGAGTACTGTCTAGTATACACAAAGCCCTGGTTCAGTCCACGGCTCTGCATAAACCACGTTTGTGAGCCAGGTGGTAACTCATGCTGGAAATTCCAGCATTCAGAGGATAGAGGAGGTGGGATCAGAAGTTCAAGGCCATTTCAATGTATAATAAATTAGAGGCCAGCCTGGACTACAAGATACCTGTCTTAAAATAGTAAAGGAGTTTTTTTTTAAAGAAATTTTTAAAATAATAAAAAGTTCGGCTAGGTGGTGGCGCCAGTGCACGTCTTTAATCCCAGCACTTGGGAGATAGAGCCAGACAGATCTCTCTCAGTTGGAGGCCAGCCTGATCTACAGAGAATTCCATGACATCTGGAAAAAAAAAAAAAAAGGCTTTAGGACAGGTAAACTCCCGTGTAGACAAAGAATACAGGCATATGACAGAATAAACAACTAGAAAATTATAACCCGAGAAATGTAAATTGAAACACCAATAAAGTGTCATTTACACTTATTAAATTTATAAATGCTTCCAAGTGACAGGATCTTGTATTGATAAAGTTATTGCAGTCAGACATAGCTAATATAATTGACATTTACAAGAAGTTACAAAAAATAATTGTATGTTTCTGACTCGGTAAATTTCATTTTAAGACTTAGAAAATAGAAATTCCATGTGTGTGTGTCAGTAGTGTTGGTATAATGGACAGTTTTGTCCATTGCTAAATCAGTACTTTCATTTAATTAAGTTGCCAAGAATAAAGTGTGAGCTGTATGACTTCTCCTGTGTTAGTTTATAAGCCATACCTGAAAGGATCCCAAAAAGAAAGTCTCCAGGGCCTAGTGCAGTTCCCATGGGTTTTTACAGTATTTTCATCCCACAAGTGACTCTTCATTGTTGACGTGCACATTAGGAGAGAAGAAGCATTCAATTATAAAATATGGTGACCAGTACCGCTTGTCTAAAAGGTGCTCTAGTGTTTTAGATAGGTTTTTACAGGCAGAAGTAGACATGGCATTTTGTTAAAAGATGTGTGTGTGTGGGGGGGTGCATTTGCATTTGGTTGTGCCAATTTTGGAGTTTTCTGTGTGTATATTTGAGACAGAGTATCCTGTTTGGCAGGCTGGCCTCCAACAAGCTGCAGCCAAGGATGACTTTGTGACCCTCTTGCTTTTGTCTTCTGAATGCTGGGACTGTAGGTGTGCACCACTGTGCCTGGTTTAAGAAGGACTTGGCTATAAATTTTGCTCAGTGAGCACTCCACCAACTCAGCTACATTCCTTGCCCATATGCTAGTTTGAGCAAATACATGATACTAGTTTATACTGCCTGATCATCTCACCATTTATTCTTTTTGAAAACCCCCACCAAATTAATAGGTGTATGCGCTGTCATGAATATCCTCCACTTAAAGGATGCCATCAGCCCTATGTATGAATCAGTACACATGGATCCTCAGCCCCTGCCCAGCTAGTGCCTAGTGCCTGTTGCTGGAGGGCCACTCAGCTATAGATAATTCCACAGTAACTGACCACAGGGTGGGTGATTTAGTAGATGTCATTTTTTTTATACTCATAAATTAGTCTGCTGTGGTGGCACATGCCAATAATCCCAGCACTAGGGATGATGAGGCAAGATGGCTGCTGAGAGTTTACTGGCATCCTGGGCTAAATAGTGAGAACCTGACTAGCTGCAGCAGTGAGGCTCCATGATAGGGGACATACGGATTTAAAAAGAAGAAATTGTCATTCCGTTAAGAAAGTGTATGGCCTTCAGATTTGTAGACTGTCAAGTGTAATCTTTAGAGACTTGCTGTGCTCAACAACTTTATTTTTCTAGAACTAATATACCAATTAAAATGCTTGCCAGGTCCTGTTGGCAGATGATGTACTCCTTCACTGAGGTAGCTTGGGAGATTTATGTTTAGTTTTGGGCTCCTGTATTATCCAGGGTAGACAGTGGCACATGTTTTGAAAATGTAGGTGCCTGACTTACACCTGTAGTAAGGGGTTTGGTTCAGCCTGGGGTATAGAAATACTCCAAGTTCTTCAGGTTTGGCCAATCACTTACCAATCATTTCCCTTTGCCAGGATTGATGTGTCTCAGAATGATCTTCCTTGGGAATTCATGGTTGACCGTCTTCCTACTGTTTTGTTTTTTCCTTGCAATAGGTAAGCCAGATTTTTTCTCAGTATGGGGCAGGTGGGATTTTCTTGTTGGAGCCTGAAGATGATGAAATGGGCTTCCACTGTAAATCTTTCATTGTGTTCTAAACTGTTGTTAAAATCATGCCATTAGGGATATAGAATAGAAGAGCACTTGTGTTGGAGTGTCATGTGTAGTGATTTTCGCTTGTTTGTTTGTTTTTGTTTTTTGGAGACAAGATCTCACTATATAGCTCAGCCTCCCAAGTGCTGGGATTAAAAGCATGTACTACCATGCCTGGCATGGACTGTTTTCCTTTGATGCTTGCTCTTCCCTAAGTCTTTCTTACAGAAGCATTCATGTGGCCATGAGAACTCGTTAGCTTTCATACATCTGTGATGCTACAATTGACAGAAAGTGCTCCTGTTTGTGTGGGATGAATCCCGATGATACCCACTGGTCCCTATCACCCAAGGGGATATAGCAGTCCCCTACCCACTACCCTTACCCACTACTCTATTCTTAGGGAGCTCTCTCTGCATGTGTACAGTGTACTCGGAAGTTGTCTGTTACCAACTGTGCTGAGAGCTACAGTAAACAGGAGTGGGACATTAGCAAAGAGAGCCAGGCTTGGCAATGAGCATAGGCCCAAATGTTTCCAAAAAAAAAAAAAAAAAAAAAAAAAAAAGGATGCTGACCCTTTCTCACGCACAACTTCCCTTTGATTGTAGAACAGGTCCACATGGCAATTCATTCACATCCCCTGTGGGAAATGTGTTTGCAGGATCCCTTAGGGAGGGTCCTGGCCCATGTCATAGTCACTGTTAAAAGTCATTATACCACTGTCATGCTCATCAAGCCTCTCTGGGAGGGACTTCCTTGGACTTTGTCATATCGTTGCCTCTGTTTTTGCCCTTTATCTCAAAGAATGTGTGCTGGAATACTTACTGTGGCAGCAGGGGCTTGTCAGATCACACACCAAAAACAGTGTGACTCAGTCTGTTCCACTGCTGGTTCTGCCATTTTCTTTCTAAGATGTGTTAAATTGCCATATAATCAAGAAATCATGGACACTAACACCAGCAATTTCATCTGTGTGGGACATAAGTTGGGCATGTAACATAGTGATATGTAATTTTTGAATTCCAAATATACTTTAAAAAAAAAGTATTAAAGTTACAGCACACAGTAAATGCCTTTGCAGGCAAAGGCTCTCAGCAGGTGGACTAATGAGCATGTGTAAATGGAAGGAAAGACACCTGGAGGACAGGTGCACAAGAGGGACATGTTTAGCCAGCACTCCCTGCCTTGTATATTAAAAGAATGAGTGCAGGCCAGGTATGGATGTTTAATTCCAGCTTGAAAGACTCTGGGCTGTTTGAGTTGAAGGTCATCAGGAGTTATAAAGGGAGACCCTGTGTCCAAAAAAAAAAAAAAAAAAAAAAAAACAGAGAGTCTGGTGAATCAAAGCCTTTATTGTTTGGAATGGGATTTTTCTCATTTCCTAAAATACGATGGTGGGCACAAGTGGAGGTAGTGCATCAGTAGCTGGTCCAGAGAGCATTTGGTATACCCAGAAGGTGGAAGAGGAAAGTGTAATGTGGCTATTACCTGTATAAAAATAAGTAAATAAAAGAGGGCAGGTGATAGAGAGATCCACTGGCCCAGCAGGAAGCAATCATCTGAGTAAGGACTGTGAGGGCCACTAGACAGCTCTAAGAGCTAAAAGTGGCTTGTGACTATCAACTATCAAGTACAAAGGCTCACAGAAGGGGAAATGAAAAAACACTGTTAGATGACATGTAATAAGACTGTTTCTGATATTTTTAGTGAAGTATAAAGCCATACATGCACTAAGGAAAATGTAAATGCTATACAAGGTGGAGATGTGCAGAAGGAGAATTCTGAGGTGTTGATAATGCTAAAGTGTTAAATGCTAAGGTTGCTTCTGAGGTGTGAAGGTTACACGTATTGGAAGATAGTGCTTGTATGATTTTTACATCCCTGCAAACTACATTAACTGTGCCTATTGCAGTCAGATGCCTGCCCTCCACCCATAGTGCAACCTGCCTAGCTTCCTTCTGCTGTGGTCTTACCTCTCTTCTTTGAAAGTAGAGGCTGGGATGTGGAACTTAACTTTCTTACACAGGGCTGTCTTAGCCAGTCCCCAAGACAGCAAGCAGTCTAAGCTGCTATGGAGGACATTGCAAACTGCCGATATTTGGACCAAGATTCTGGTGCATGCACCAGAAGGATACTTCAGTATTGTACAGGAAGAACTTCATTGCTTCTGAGGAGCTCTAACTAGCAGTGGGACCTCTTACCACCATGCTTTCAAGAGGACAACTTTTTGTTTTCTGTTCTTTTAGACCAGATTCTCACATATTTCTCATGCTGGTCTGAAACATATTTCTCATGCTGGTCTGAAACTTAGTATGTAACTCCAAGTGCTGAGATTAATGATGGGAGCCACAATTCCCAGATTAAAAGGACTACTTTTTAGAAGCAGTTTATAAATATTCTGTGTATGAAAGAAACAAAAACAGCAACATGTGACCTTAAAAAAAAAAAAAAAAGTATATGCCAGGCAATGGATGGCACATGTCTTTACCCCCAGCACTGGGAGGCACAAGCAGGCAGATCTCTGAGTTTGAGGCCAGCCTTGTCTACAAAATAATTTCTAAGACAGCCAGGGCTACACAGAGAAACCCTGAATCAAAACCAAAAAAAGAAGAAAAAAGTAGCCAAGTATGTCACATGTCACACTCTTATGATCCTAGCTCAGGGGACAGAGATGAGGATCACAAGTTCAGGGTCAGCCTGGACTACATATTGAATGAAACTCTGTCTAAAACAAACAGCTGACAAAATGGCTCAGCCGGTAAGAGTTCTGAAAATCCAATGGTGGAAGAAGAGAACCAACTCTTAAAAGTTGTTCCTTAATCCCCACAGGATCACCATTGCAGCTGTATACAAACATAAAATAAATGTAATTTTTTACAAAAGTGAATTTTTCTCTAAAAAATACTCAAGAGGCAGAAGCAGGCAGATTGCTGAGTATATGACCAATCTGGTCTACGTAGTGAGTTCCAGGCCAGCCAAGGCTACAGAATGCAACTAGTCTCCAAAACCAAAAACTGACTGACTGACTGACTGACTGACTAACTAAATGGTATGAAAGCATGACAATTAGGGAACCATAGCATTTCCCCAGCCTCTGTAAATGCCTCTAGGAGACACATTGAGGCTCACAGTTTTCTTTTTTTCTTTCTTTTTTTTTTTTTTTTTTAAAGATTTTTATGTTCATTGGTGTTTTGCCTGCATATATGTCTGTGAGGGTGCCAGGTCCCCTGGAACTGAAATTACAGACAGTTGTGAGCTGTTATATAGGTGCTAGGAATTGAACCTAGGTCCTCTGGAAGAGCAGTCAGTGCTCTTAACCTCTGCTCTCCAGCCCTGTAAATGGGTGTTTTGCCTATATGTATGTCTATGCGGCATGTGTGTGCAGTGCCCTCAGATTCCCCTGAGGCTGGAATTACAGACAATTATGAGCTATCATGTTGGTGCGGGAATTCAAACTAGCTCCTCTAAAAAGCATCCAGCACTCTTAACCATTGAGCTATCTCTCCAGCCCCTTAATGGTACATTAAAGAACCATGTTTTGGTTTTGTTTGTTTGTTTTCATTTTTGAGAGTCTCACTATGTAGCCTAGGCTTGCTTCAAACTTTTTATCTTCCTGCCTGAGGGATTGCAAATGTATGACACCATACCTGGTTAAAAATGCAATCTTGAAAAAGCTAATATTGAACATCCACTTAACTTATTTAACTCTTACAACAGTCCTGTGAGGCATATTTTACAGAGCCCACATCCCTTGTCTGAGTAAAGCATTGTGGGATGCTGCCTTTGGGGTCCTGTCACTTCCATTCCTTCATTCTCTGAGGGTATTGATTCCTGTCTGATGACTAACCTCAGGCAGAACTGTAGAGAGAGGTATTTTGAGTTATGTTGGCTAGATTGTATATGCACAGGTCAACATACCTGTGAGAGAAACTTTGGTGGCTATGTGGACAATTAGATGACAAGTTCTAAAAAAGGACCTTTCTGAATTAGAGCATGGAACAAAGACGTAGAGACTCCTTCGAATGTCACCATCCTCATGTCTGTGCTATCGGGACTGAGTGGCTATAATTCATCTTAGTCCCTTGGTTGGTTCATTTACCAGTAGCATCTGTCCAGGTGTAAGCCCAGTGTTCCCAGCTTAGGGTACAGTCTCCCTTAGTCAAGAACACTTTATGCTGTAGATATTGTGCAATAATTGTGTGCTGTTACTGGCTTTTTGTTTGTTTGTTTGTTTGTTTTTTTTCCAGTTTTACTGAGCACTTTTAAAAGCCCTGGTAACTGAGGGCAGCCCTGTCCAGGAACTTTGATCACTACCCATGTAGCTCAGACAGAGTAGCCACATTCTTCTACCTCTGTGATTCACTGGTTTTGGGCTAAGTATAGACAATTAAGTTCTGTCCTCAGGAACAGACAATCACTTTAAGTCAAATTACAATTGCAGTGCAAGTCTGGGGTACCTCACTCCACAGAGAACTGCTTGCCTGGGCACCACTTCTTTTCATTAAGAATTCAGCATCTTTCCCATTTGTCTCTGCATTGTGCTTATTGAGACCTTCACTTTTGACTTTCCCTTCCTCTCCAGAAAGGACCTAACTGTGAAATACCCTGGAGACCTCCCCATCACCCTTCCAAATCTGTTGAGGTTCATTCTGCATCACTCAGACCCTGCCTTGGCCCCTCAGGACTTTGACATCAGCCCTCCTACCCAAGAATGTGTTCAGAATGAGGCAGTCCTGCAGCAGGAACACATCTCTCACGTGGAGAATGCCATGCAGAAGCTAAGATCTGAGATGAGCAGCCTACGCCGTACACAAGAGAAGGTAGAGGGCCGGCTTTTTAGTGCCCGCAGGGATGGGCACCGCCTGCTACGCCGGCAGCGTGCTCTGGAGCAACAGCACAGGTTGCTCCGTCGCCACAGCCAGAAACTGCAGGCCCTATATGTGCAGAAGGCCCGTGAGCTTCAAGAGCTGGCCAGTGCCTCAGAGAACCCCCTCCCTGAGCACACATGGCTCAAGATCCTTGTGGCCACTATGGAGAGGGAGCTGGAGGGCCAGGGTGAAGCTAAGGAACCAGCCCCTCTGGAAAAGGTTCACCCCAACCACGCTAAGTTACCTGGTGACACCCCCCCACCTTCTACCACCAGCTCCACTCTGGCACCAGAGAGGAAGCATGAGAACAGGACAGAGTAACTTTTGAATGAGATGAAGGAATCAGAGGTGAAAACTGTACATTGGGAATATATTTATGCAAATTTTATTGAAATTTATTGTAAATAAAGATTTTTCTCAGTGGTCTAGAAAATGAACTTGAATGTCATTCAGCATTATTGTTCAGGAATGGCAACCCTTCCCTTCCACTTATTGCACAAACTTGGTAGCTTTGAGACACAACATTAGCACAGTCCATTTGAAGATTTATCTAGAAAAGTCAGTCCTTGCTTCAATGTCTGAGACCCTGGGTTCCTGCCTGCTCCCCAGGATGAAAGGCCGGCTTCTTACCAGAAGATCTTGCCACAAAAGTATCAGAAGAGAGGTCATAGCTTATTAACGGTTGGAGTGTATGCCCTGGTTTATAGTTAGTGATAAACAAGGACAGTTCATTGGTGCTATAGGTGTTTAATTTTTCTCCCTAAGACCTCTACTAGTGCTCCACGGTGCCTGAACTTAATTGGCAATTCATCCCACTTGATGGGCTGACTCAAAAGCCAAAGACATCCCTGGCAACTGGGGAGAAGACAGGAAGCACCCCAAAAGTATAACTGTGAGAATGTGGTGTCTGAAAAAGAGAAATGTCATTGGCATAGTGAAAGCTGCAACCTGTGTCTGACAGTGGACTGATTTGAGCATTTTCAGGAGCCAGGCTCACAATGAAAGTGTAGATCTAAGCTGTTCTTAGATCAGTGGACAGTGGAGCTAAAGGATCAGCAGTGTATAGGCTGCTGGCTGCAAGTGGAATTAGAGGTAGAAAGCTGGAAGTGTTGGGGGGGGGGATGGGTCAAAACCCTCAGCCTCTGCCAGCTCCAGGGCAGATCCCTTTCATACCCTCACTGCTTCCAGGTCCAACCCCAATCCAAGCCAGCCTAAGCAGCCTCTGCCGATGGCCAGTCCACCCGTTACTACCTCTTCCATGACTCAGCTATCTCACCTGGGTCCAAGAGTTTCTTAAGCTGTTTTTACTACAGCAGCCCACCAGAAGTGTCTTATCCCTACCTTTACAAATGGTCTTCCTTATGGCTGTCTCTCCTCACCTTAACATTTGACCCATAGCTCCCTTTGTAGGCATACACTGCTGAAAAGAGGTGTTCCCTATAGCTCCTCCCTTGGGCTCCAGAGAATGGATTAGTTCTCACATGCTTTTTAAAGCTGTGTTCAGCCTGGTCTGAAGCTCTCTGCTTCCTGCCCATGCTCTCCAGGGCCAGTACCTAGTCATCAGCAAGGATGTAAACACACTCGTGTTTTAATCAGAATGGTTTAGAATGGACTTAGAGTGGTGGATCAACAGCTTATAGGCATGGACTCAAAAGGATATCTAGGAGACACATTCTGCTGTCTCCCTGACCTATGAGCCAGGCCCTGAATTTGAACACCTGGTGGCTCTGTTGTAAATGCATACATGCAAACTAGAAATGATCTTCTTTGGCACATAGTGCCTTTAGAACTGGGTTGGGGGCTCAGTCTACAAAGCTCTGATGATCAAAGTGAAACCCAGTACCTAGCCAGTGGGCAGTCACTGGAGAGGAAAGGAAGCTCGCTTGTGAAAAGTTGGGAGGAAGACAAAGAGTTGACCCAACCCCTTACCCCCACTCCAGTGCAGAAAGTATTAAATACAAAAACAAAACGTTGCTTGCTTGGGCCAACTGGGTTTCAGACTTCAAGTAGCCGCCACAGGTTCTGGTGTTTCCAGAGGACTAGAACAGTTTCTGCAAGGCCTGTGCCGAAGGGATGTACTGGGCATGCTCATGAACAAAGGGCAAGAGACTGCTCCGCTAAGCTGCCTGGCAGCCTTCAGGACTCATGGGGACTCGTCCATCACAGGCTTCCAAACAAAGTACAGCAACTTCCTTGCAGTAACTGCCATCTGCACACACTGCTATTTAACAAAGCTGAAGCGATCAAAGGGAAGGGGTGTGGTCTTTCTACCCATTACTAACCAAGAAGAAATCACCCAAGCACCCCAGCTACTTAGCCTTTCACTTCCTTTCTATACACACATACAAGACCTTAGTGAGCTCTGCCAAGGGCACCTGGGGCCTGACCAGTCAAAGACTTCCATGGTCATGCCTAAGCCCACCATGAATACAGCCATCAAGCCAGTCCCATGGGCTCTATGTGGTATTTTAAAAAATAAGCAAGAAGGCTTAAGCACGTGCTTCTGGGCCTATTTACAGTTCACAGGTTGATTAGTTCACGAATTACAGTAGTAGCTCCATCAAAAACAGGCTCAGCTAAAACATTCAAGTAACAAAAGCACTAAGGGGCCATGAATCCCAGCAAGGTCAGGCCTGCCCACTGCCTGCAATGGGCAGCCCCACCAGGAGGCTGAGGGGGAAGGCCAGGACAGCTGGGATCCGCAGTCAGTGCATGCGATGATGAAGCCTGAAGAGACCATGCCAGCAAATGTCAACCCCTCTCGTAGAGCATCATGTCCGCTTCTGCCCTCTCAGTGCTTCTGGACTGGCTGCAAAGGGAACCAGGTCCTTCACAGCTCAGCTCAGCCATGTACTTCTGGGCCACTGGTGGTCATCAACTTGGCCTTTCTTTCCATGCACGGCCCCTTGGCAGAGTACTGCACCAGCAGAAAGGGCTCCTTTGTCTCGCCATCACCCACGATGCTCTCCTCATCCTCTGACTGGCTGATGCGCTGCAGTCGCAGGTAGCACCAGCAGCCCAGGATCAAGGCCCCCAGGGCAGCAATGGCGATGAGGATGACAATGACTGTGACCACCCCTGTAGTGGGGCTGTGGTCCATAATAGACATGGTTAGTGCTTGGAGGGACTTCTCTGGTGCAAAATTCTTGGTGTGGCTGGCTCAACGAGGCTGGAATTCAGGCTGCACAAGACGGTCCTGAAAGACAAAGTCAGAAAAGAGTATACAGGGCTCTGCAGGGGACTCAGCCACCCAGTGGCCCTTTCTGGGGTCTGTTTTTAAGTTCTTGAACTCAACTGGTTCGGCCTTCAACCCTGTGACAACTGTGGGATTGCCTTTCCACTGTGTCTGCCCAGATGCTCACCCAGCCTACTTCCCCCAGCTACTTCTGACATCCAGGTGTTTCCGCTGTCAGTAAGTTATTCTTGTGGGAAGGGAAATGGGCACCATGACAGTTGAGGCAAGGGGCTCCACGAGGACTGGCCACTAATTTGGTTCTTCTGTTGAAGGTATACTTTTTTTTTTTTTTTTTTTTGTTTATTTGTTTGTCTTTAAAACACAGTCTCACTCTGTAGCGCAGGCGATCTCATACTCATGATTCTTTGGCCTTAGCCTTCTGAGCCTTAGGATCACAGGCCTGAGCCACCATGCCTAACTGGAGCTTTAGAAGACAGTACCAGTATGTGTCTAGTAACTACTGAACCATGAAGCTAGAGAGGAAGGATCCAAAAGTAGATAAACAGCATCAGTTCCTGTGTGTGTGTGTGTGTGTGGGGTCAGATAACACATAATGTCTCAACCTTTAAGGTCTCTAGGGTCTCAGCTTATCAGACCCAGGCAAGAGATCACAATAGCCAACAGCTTTTGCCCTTTGGAGCTGTGGCTGATCTGTGAAGACCCTGGTTTTCAGGAAGCCCATGGATATAGAGCAGGCAAGCAAAAGTAAAGCATCTCCTGAAAGACAGGTACTGGGGAAAGCTTCAGGGAAGGTAGGAAGGGTGGGGTAGCTGGCTCCTGTTTGTGCATAGCTTGGTATCTAGTACAGGAGTCAGATTACCAAGAGGTCAACACTCCCAAATGTCTGTCCAGGTATGGTCACATCAGAAGCACAGGGGACCAGGTGCTCTGGTGTACACTGGCAGGGGACAGCATTCATGGCAGGGGAACAGTACTGCTAGGGCTTGGAAGGCATCATCCTGTAAGAGTGGCAACAGGAAGTGAGTGCCAACTAGGTTCAGGTATGCTGAGGTATACTAGGGCAGATAGCTGAGATGACTCCATATCACAGAGCCCAGTCCTCATCTGTAGACAAGGTTTTGAGTGGCAAAGGAGAACTAAGCTGTGGGATACACATGGCCTATAGAATCTGGACTCCAGTTTCCCTCTCAAACCTCCAGGGCTTACTTGTTATCCCAAAGCCAGCCTGCCATGGCCCTCAGGATCAGGGCTTTGCTACAACAGCCTCCAAATCCAGCAGGCTGCTACAGTGTCTCAAGGCCCCCCACTTTATTACTAATGCCAGTCAGTAATGGATACCAGTGTGCTTAGAGGAATGAAGATGCCAGAGGAGTGTTCTGCACAGGCCAGGCACAACCTCCGCTGAACAAGTCTTGAATGTCTAAAGTCTCCCCATCCACATACTGGGCAGACAGTACAGATTCTCCCTCCAAACAGGATAGAACATACGTGCTGCATCCTTGAGCAATAATCTCCTTATTTAAAAATGATTCACCCAACCCATTCAACCATAGAGGCTACCAGGATCAGCCCCCCCCCCCCCACCAGAGGTCACAGGCAGCCAAATCAATGCCCCAAGTGTGGAACCCAGGAACCAGGCCCCAAGCAGTACCACCTTTATCACCTGAGTCTAAGCTGCCTGGGTCCCACTTGAGTGGGTCCCTGTCCACTCTTGCAATCAGAGCACACTGGATGTGCCCAAGTGTTTATAGTGACTGACAGTGTGTTCCAATTCTGGCCCAAGCTCCCCACCTTGTGCCCTCCAATATCCTCCTGGGTCCAGGCCTTTGACCCCACAGTTCTCCACTCCCTGACCTTGATCACTAGGTCTCAACTGGGGGCAATCGTGCACCTGACCACACCTGGTAAGCAGAGGTCAGTGACTCTGCTCAACACCCTTTAAGGTATAGGACTACTCCCAAATCTCAACACAGAATAGCCGGACCCCAAAAGGCACCCACATGGAGGTGGAGGAAAAACCCTGACCTAGTTTACACTAACTCCAGGAGGGAAGCCTCTCCAACCAAAAGGCCAGGGGGGCTCCCTCCCTGGCAAGGCCACCTAGCCCCTGGCCTTCCCCTTCCCCCAAAGCTGCATGTCTCAAGAATGGTGGCTCTGCTTGCTCTGTAGCCTGGCACCTACTCTGTCAACATCAGTTCCCACAGTCCACGCGGCCAGACCACATAGGACACCCAAGGTTCT